AAGGAGGCAGAGAGAAATGAACAGATTTTATGTATAATTGGGAAGTGGGAACAACACGTTTCAGTATTTACTAAATAAGTGCTGAGGATATAGCAGTGACTAAAGCAGAGAGGATACTTGTTCTGTACATTAAGGCAGTGTGTGGACAGTGGGGCCCAGCTGTTACTAAAAATTAAACTAAGGCCAGGCTCAGTGGCTTAGCCTGTAATCCCAGAACTTTGGGAGGCCGAGGCAAGTTGATTGCCTGAGCCCACAGGTTTGAGACCAACCCAGGCAACTTGGTGAGACCTCATCTCTACAATAAATCAAAAATTACCTGGGCGTGGGAATGCTCACCTGTAGTTTCGGCTACTTGGAAGGCTGAGGCAGAAGGATCGCAGGAGCTCAGCACGTCGACGCTGGGTTGGCTGTGAGTGTGCCACTGCACTCCAACCTGGGCGACAGAGTAAGACTCTGACTCAAACAAACAAACAAATAAACAAACAAAAAACTTCCAAAGATAGGTTACAAACCTGCACGTGTACCCTTGAAATAAAAAAAAATGATAACCAATATTCAAAACTCATCCTCCTAATATTTTACTAAATTGTACTGTTACCTGTGTTCTTGAGGTTATTTGTATCTATCATGTTTGTATGACGGAAAAGCTGTGTGTAGTCCATAATTGCACATCTCTTCCCAACTTTACATCTGGTGATGTCTTGTTGATAGCTTGAAGTTGGCCATGGTAGGAGTATTTACACCACAAAAATCAGTTAAGTGTTACAGATCAGTTCTTCTTCCTCTCTAGAGAGCAGCTGTTAAAAATTTACCAGTACTCCCCTTGATAGGAGTAGGAGCACACCCTGAGGAGTCAGGCAGCCAGGTTTTAAATCATGCCTGACTCTACCACTTGCTAGTAATATGAATGGTTAAGACACCTGATATTGGCTACCTCATTCATAAAATAGGTAATACATTAATAGTATTGTCTTTGTCCATTTGTACTGTTATAACAAAATATCTGATACTGAGTAACTTATAAGGAACAGAAATTTATTTCTCACAGTTTTAGAGGCTGGGAAGTCCAAGCTCAAGTTTCTAGCAGGTTTGGTGTCTGGTAATGATTTATTCTCCACTTCTAAGATGGCGACCTGAACCACATCCTCTGAAGGGGACAAATGTGGTTCCTCATGTGGCAGAAGAGCAGAAGAGAGTGAACCCCCTACCAAAAGCCCCTCTTCATCCATTCATGATGGCAGAACCCTCATGACCTAAACACCTCCCATTATGTCCCACCTCCAAACACTTCTACATTGGGGATTATGCTTCCTACACATGAATTTGGAAGGGATGAAAACATTCAAACCATAGCAATTATGATATGTATATTTAATAAAATGAAATCATTCCTATCAAGTGTTTAGCATAGTGCAAGATACCGGCATATGCCCGATAGATATGAATATTATTTATTCATAGAGAAGAAAGAATGAACTATTCAGAAGGCCCTTTTTAGACAGAGTAAGAGAAAATATTTATGTTGGAGGAGTCAGTTGGGAGCAGCAATCTCTTTTTGGCTGCCTGGAACTTGATTCCTAAGCCTTCTAACACTGGGGAAAGGGGCAATTAAGTCTCTGCTTCCTGGAGTATACAGCCACAGGCATCAGGCCCAGCACACCCAGCACACCCAGCACTTAGTGGGTCCTAGGAGAAATTACTGAGAACTCAGATCAACAGCGGGGCAGGCTCCTCACAGACATCCCAGGGGACGATGGATCAGTGTCCAGGTTAAATATGGCCCTTGACAATGCAGGAGGAATCTCTGACCATGAAGATATTTACAGGTTCCCAGTGAGATCCCCTGGGGGAAGTCAGAAATCTGCTGGTTAGGATCCAGAAGACTACATGGAAAAGGAGATGGTTGAATTTCTCTGGGCTTGAGTTCCCCAGAAAGTCAAGCAAGAGATTGAGGTCCCCAGATCTGCTCTGGGCAGCTGAGGAAGGGAAAGGAGCACAGAAAGGGACATGCCACCAAGACTGCACAGCCAGGGCTGAGGGGAGTGAGGAAGGAAGGCTACGGAGAGCCAGTTTCAAGGAGGAAAAAACTGGGTTCCAGCCTCCAGTTGAAAGGTGGGAGCGCACTGCTTCCTGCAGCCTCTAGGGGGTGCTCAGGCCCAAGTAGGAACCAGCTTCTCCCCTCAGCCCAGGCGGGAAGGCTGAAGGACTCAGGACTAGCTCGGTGACCTTCTGTGGTGGGCGGAAGAGAAGCAAAGTCAGCTCTATTTTGAGTACCCTGAGAAGAGTTGCCCTGTGCCCTGTGACCAACATATCTACAGCCCCGTGTTCCTAGATGAACATAGTTCTCTACCTCTCAGCTCTTGTCCAGAACTTGAGCTTCAACCCCGGCTGCCTGCAGTACAGAAGATTCCACTGGCCCAGTCTCTGGGAATTGGGGTGGGAGGTAGAGAGGGAAGAGGGAGGCTCCGATAATGGTATCTAAGCTATGCTGGGTAGATAGGTCAATATGGAAACAACATGAAAAGGGGCCATGAAGCACTATTCTGGGATAGATGGACCCAGGGATGCTATGAGAGAGATCAGAGTAATGTGGGGAAGAAAAGGCCAAACTGAAAAACTATCATCCAGTATATGTCCTGTTTCCCCTCAAAGAGTCCTGTTAGGCCAGAGGGAGATTGCTCCCCATGGGCCAACAGATCATCCAGGAACCTACTGAAGTTTTCATTATGGGTCTTCTTGAGGGTGTTTGTTTCTTAGAGTGAAAGCTTCCCTCTCCCCAGGCAGGTCCAACAATATCTGCAGGGCATGTAGACAAGGCTCTGAAAGCTGGAGACAAACTGCTGAGGAGATTGCTGACAGAGGGTCACTGGCTCAGGAGGAAGAATCCCAGGAAGGTTATATAAGGCTTCAGAAACTGAGAGGAAAAGAAAAAGGGGAGTCTGGGAATGGCAGACTTGCTTCTCCACAGCTGGGATGGAGCAGCCAGCCAGGGATACCCTGCAGTGGGGAGAAGGTGGGTGTAAGACATCAGCTGTAGGAGCTGCAGCATTGTCCATGCTACCAAGGACTCAGTCCAGCTTTGCCCAGTGACCTATGAGGAGGGAATGATGTTAACAGCATGTTTTCATTTGTAAATTAGGAGAGGACGTTCAGTCTGCTGGCAGAGGCCTGGTGACATGTTATTCCAGAATCTTTGGTTTTTTGTTGGGAGGAAACTTTGTAGAATAGAAAAGGGATCTGAGACTATTGCTAGGGTCCTACAGGGAGCTATAGGAGTATAGAGTCATCTGAGAGACATTGGGGCTCTTCTAGGCTTGACCAGGGAGCAGGGGTCCTGGAATCTTAACTTGGCCCATAGCTGATTCTGCCCATAATTTTCTTCTAACCCAGCAGCCAACTCTCAGAAGGAAACAGGGCAGGCTTTGGGAGAGGTCAGGGGAGTACTGAGGATAGCCGGTGAAATCCCAGGAAGAGAGGGACATGGAACTGGGACACTGGAGAGAGAAACAGGACCATTGGATGAAGGGTGACAAGGGAATTTGTGACCCCTAGGTCTCAGTATACCCCCTATCATAACCCATCCTTGATTCCTAATATTCCCTTTGCCCCCGAAGGGGGCAAATTGTCAGAAATTTGGCTGCAACACTAACAATTCTCATCAGTACTTGAAATGCACTTTTGTTTTTTTTTGAGTTGGAGTCTCACTCTGTCACCCAGGCTGGATTGCCATGGTACACTCATGGCCACCCCAGCGTTGACCTGCTGGGCTCCAGCAATCCTTCTGTCTCAACCTTCCAAGTAGCCGGAACTACAGGTGTGTGCTACCACACTTGGCTAATTTTTGATTTATTGTAGAGACGAGGTCTTGCCAAGTAGCCTGGGCTGGTCTCGAACCTGCAACCTCAGGCAGTCTACTTGCCTCAGCCTCCCAAAGTGCTCGGATTACAGGCTGAGCCACCAAGCCCGGCCAAAATGCACTTTTTAAATTAAACAAATATTCATTGAGTAACTATTATATGCCAGGCACTATTTTAGGGGGCAGAGATATAATGGTAAACAAAACAGACAAAACAAAACAAAGCAAAAAACAAGCAAAACTAAGACAATCAAATAAGTAAACAGATGGAATAATTTCAAATTTTAGTAAGTGACATTAAGGAAAGATCGAGAGTCTGAAATGGCTAGATAAGGTAGTCAAGAAAGACTTCATTGAGAAAGTTGCGTTTAAGCAAGAATCAGCTGTAAATATTGTGAAATCCCACTTACAGTTCTGTTTGTTCTGTGATGGGCAAATAAAGCATTTTCCCCTCAAGATGGAAACTACCAAGAAAGACTAATTACTAGCAGTGATAGTACTCTCTAGAACAGAGACACCTCCTCTTTCCGCCCCATTACTGTCAGCCCCTAACTCCCAGGCAATTTTTACAAAGCTCTTTGCCAGCAGAGGTTGATGCCCGGATGTTTGTCAATGGGGAGACATTATTGTCCCCAAACTCACTAGTCCAAGAGTAAAGTTGAAGAGGCTTAAGGTGCCCCCAAATGGCCCCTGATGGAGCTTGGAAAAAGCTGTTCTCTGAGTATTTCCAAGTAAGTTTATCTCTGTGTGTAGTTACTAAGTATATTAAGTATCAGTGTCTGTAATTGTCGAGGGCAGGGTTTGACACTTAGTGCACAAAAATCTACTCCCTCCTCCCCTTTGTAGAGATAAACTCAACCACTGAAAGGTGATCCTCAGTCTACCTGCTTCCCTGACTTAAGGGCACCTAGACCCATTGCCAGTGTGGTGAGAGCTGAACATCGATGGAGTAGGCTGATCAGTGCTTGAAAGTTGCTGAAGGGGGTTGAGGGCTGCTGCCGGGAAGAGGGAGTCTTGGACTCAGGTTTCTGTCCAGACCCTGACCTTATTTGCAGTGATGTAATCAGCCAATATTGGCTTAGTCCTGAGAGACAGCTCATTTCCAGTAGGATTGGAGATGGGGGTGGTGCTGCTGCTGACTCTATATAGGGAGTTCACCTGGTTGCCCAGAGTTGTCCAGTGGCCTCTCCAGCTCAGCATGGCTAGGACTTTGAGAACACTCAGTGCACTGGGGTTATGGGGCCTGTGCTGGTCTCTGGCCATCGCCAACCCTCTTCCTTCGTGAGTAAAGCTGGGACTAGGAGAAGAGAATTAGGGTCTGAGTTAGGGTAAGACAGGACTAGTTTTTTGTGTTTTTTTTTTTGAGTCAGAGACTCACTCTGTTGCCCAGGCTGGAGGGTAGTGACATGCTCCCAGCCACCACAGCCTCGACTTGCTGGGCTCAGGCGATCCTTCCGCCTTAGCCTTCCAAGTAGCTGGAACTACAGGCACGTGCCACCATGCCCGCCAATTTAAAAAAAAATTTATTTATTGTAGAGATGAGATCTTGCCAAGTTGTCTAGGATGGTCTCGAACCTGTGGGCTCAGGCAGTCCTCTCACCTCAGCCTCCCAAAGTGACAGGACTAATTTTTAGGCCTGGATCAAGTTTGGGGTCAGGAACTGAAAGAGAGGAAATAGTCCCAATGGACCCAAACATCTAACTGTTCTCTCTAGGACTAGTGACCATGGGAACACTGCTGAAGGTGGGACCAAGCCAGACTCAGATGTGCCCGGTGAGGCCCCAGCTCCCTGAATCTATCTGTCTGACTGTGTCTCTGCATTTTGACATCTTACTGGTTTTTTACTTTGCCATCTCTTCACCTCCACCCCAGAACAGTGCTCAGATGGCTGGAGCCTTGATGCTACCACCCTGGATGAGAATGGGACCATGCTGTTTTTTAAAGGTAGGAGGGGCGGGGGTTGGGGCTTTTGGATCTCAGATTTAGCCCCCTTCACAGAGGGTGTCTCCATCTGTGGGAGACCTTGGGGATTATCTGAGGATAGCACTGACAGCTTTTCAGTAACTATCTCAGTAGGCCAAAGGTTTGTCATTGGGTCCCAGTAAGTGTGGGTTTTTTCAGGGGAGTTCGTGTGGAAGACTCACAAATGGGACCGAGAGTTAATCTCAGAGAGGTGGAAAAATTTCAGCAGTTCCGTGGATGCTGCATTCCGCCGTAGTGACAACAGTGTCTTCCTAATCAAGGTACTCTTGGGTGAGGGTCAGGAGCAGGCTGGAAAGAGCTGGAATAGACACCAGAGGCACTTCTGCAAGTGACCCTGGCATGGAGCCTATAGTGATAGGTACCAGGTTTCCTTCCCCGTGATATCCTTACACGAAAAATTCAGGCTAAGGGAGTATGTGTGCATGTGGGCCTGGCAGGCAAAACACCCAGTGGTAATTCTTCAGTCCTGATCTTAGTTCTAGACTGCTCTGCTGTACCTCTTGCTGTTGGTCATCCCCTCCTTCCTGTCAGTGTCTTCCCTTGATTGTCATGACCCTGCATCAGGTCCTCTTCATAAAGCAGGGCAGGTTGCTCCTAACACAGTGGCATCCGATCAGAGGGGTGAGTAGATCATGAAGTCCAGCCCTCTGTGCTCACTAAGTCCCGTGCCATGGCCCAGGTTGTGTCTGTTCAGAGGAAGGGGTGTCTTCTCCTCACTTGCCAAAGGTGCTGTGTGGTTGGGGTGGCCCTGACTGCCAACTTTGTTTTCCTTCCTCCCTCTTTTCTCTCTTTTCTCAGAAGTCTCATCCCCAGCCAGTCCCCAAATGGTTTTTGGGATCCATCCTAGTCCTTCCACATTCCCTTGGTGATCTTTCACCATTTCCTTAGTGATCTTTCACCATTCCCTTTGTGATCCAACCATCCTGATGGCTCTGAAAACTCTCTATGCTGTGGACACCAGATCTGGTTTCTGTCCAGATGCTGACCTAATCTCCCTCCTGCACTCCAGACGTCGCTTTCCAAATTCCTGGCAGAAATCTCTGACTTAGATGTTCCACAAATCCTTCAAATTCATCATCTTCAACACCAGCTTAGGATCCTCTTCACAAACCAAACTCTCCTCCTGTGTTTCCTATTTCAGCATATGACGCTAAAATGTACCCGGTTGCTATAAGCACATGGGGTCTCATGATTTGGACCTTGGTTGTCTTTTAAGGTATATCTCCTCCCTTGCCACATTCACTTTGTGCTGGCCACATGAGACTTTATAAAGTTCTCTGAGCGCACTGTTTGCTTCCTCATGTTTGGGCTCTACATGCTGCTCCTTCTACTGGTAACACCCTTTCCTCACTTGTCCACCTGGAAAACTCCTGCAGTTTTCAACTTTGGGGCCAGATGCTTCCTCTCTATTAAGAAGCCTTCTACAGCTTCTCTAGGCAGACATAGGCATTCCTCCTATGGTCCCAATGCACTTTGTATGCTTTATACCTTGGAGATTGCATGGCTAGGATTGTTGGAACGCTTTCTGCTTTTGTACAGTGAATTCCTTGAAGTCAAAGAGAGGGTCTTGTCATCCCTTTATCTTCAGTACCTCTCACAATACTCTGTTATATAGAAGTTGCTTGAATGAAGAAATGAATTATGAATATATATGATTGCAGAATGACTATTGTGGGTGTGTTTGCAAAGACTGATGGTGTTTTTTTGTTTGTTTTTGGGGTTTTTTTCTTTGCCATCCAGGCTGGAGTGCAGTGGTGTAGTCATAGCTCACTGCAGCCTCAAACTCCTGGGTTCAAGTAATCCTCCCACCTTAGCCTCCTGAGTAGCTGGGACGACAGGCATGTATCACCATGCCCAGCTAATTTTTTCACTTTTTTGTGGAGATGAGGGTGGTCTTGCTAAATTACTCAGGTTGATCTCAAACCCCTTGCCTCGAGCAATCCTCCTGCCTTGGCCTCCCAAAGTGCTGGGATTACAGGCATGTGCCACCATGCCTGACCTGATGGTGTTGCAGATAAGTGTACCACAGGAGTATCTAGTTGTACATTGCCAGATGTGTCTGTGTTATAGTAATAGTGACTAGATTTGCACAAACTGGGGGGTATACATTGTGGAGAAGGACAGCACATTGTTGTCCACAGATGGACTGAGTACATGGGGCAGTAGGATGATACTGTGTAAGAGCAATAGAATTAACATGTTTGCAAACTCAGAGTGGCAGTATCTGGGAGTGCACAGTGAAAAAGAGAGTGCTTTTGTATGCAGGGGGACAAAGTCTGGGTGTACCCTCCTGAAAAGAAGGAGAAAGGATATCCGAAGTCACTCCAAGATGAATTTCCTGGAATCCCATCCCCCCTGGATGCAGCTGTGGAATGCCACCGTGGCGAATGCCAAGATGAAGGTGTCCTCTTCTTCCAAGGTCTGTCCAGACTGGAATCTGAGAACCCAGGGTAGTGGTGGGTTGGTGGTGATGGGATAGTGGTGCTGGCAGTGATAGTGATAGTGGTAGTGGTGGTGTTGGAGGCACCATATGGCTTTCTAAAGAAGTGAAATAGAGATGCCAGTTATGGTCTAGTGGTCAAGTGGGAGAAGGAAAGAAAATCATTCTGGCAATTTCCTATCGAACTGGGCATAATTCTGCTAATAGTCTCTTATTGTTGCTTATTACCCTTAGGACAAATTTATGCTCCTTAGTCTTACATACAAGGCTCTCCATGAACAAACCCCTATCAATCCTTCCACTTTGACTCTTATCATACCCCTACCTTGAATACTAAGCTCCAGAAACTCGATACTGTTCTTTGTACTCTCAATTTGCTTCATGTTTCAGGCTCTTTCCTTTCTCTGGAGTTCATCCCCTTCTTGTCTGCCTTGTAACTCCTACTTCGGATTTCACTTTACGTATCACCTTCCCTGAGAAGTTTTCCCTGACTCTTCCCACTGCCCTTGCTGAGTGGATCATGTGCACTGCATTTGCTGCTGAATTTTATTGTATGATCACTCTCCTCAGCTGTCTCTCTGCTGGCTATGAGGTCCATGTGACCAGTCCTATATCTGGCCCATCCTGGGGCCCTATGCAAGCACAAGGGAGGGCATAACCCGACCTCACCAAATGCTTGTTGATTGATTGGACAAAGGTAACCGCGAGTGGTTCTGGGACTGGGCTACGCGAACTGTAAAGGAGCGTTCCTGGCCAGCTGTTGCGAACTGCTCCTCTGCCCTGCGATGGCTCGGCCGCTACTACTGCTTTCAGGGTAATCAATTCCTGCGCTTCAACCCTGTCACGGGAGAAGTTCCTCCCAGATACCCTCTGGATGCCCGAGACTACTTCATGTCCTGCCCTGGCAGAGGTGAGAAAGCCCTCACCCTGGGACCTGCTGGAATTCATCCGTCTTCCCTGAGCCTGGAAATCCTGAGTGCCCCAGCTCTCACATTACCTCTGTGTTATAATACCTTGGCCCTTACCCTAGCTCCGTTTCCATTCTGGGTCTTCCCATTGTCCTCATATTGGAAACCCACACCCCCCACTAACTCCAGCCATCTGTTCCACCTCAGACCTCACTAACCTCTGGTCTCCCTTTGTGTTTCCATTACCTGCTTCTCCTCACAGGCCATGGACACAGGAATAGGACTCACCATGGAAACAGTACCCACCATGGCCCTGAATATACACGCTGCAGCCCAAATCTTGTCTTGTCTGCACTGGTGTCTGACAACCATGGCGCTACCTATGCCTTCAGTGGTGAGTGATGCTCCCGACTCCCTTATCTCTTCCCTCCCATCTCTTTCACTTGTGTCTCCTATCCCTGACACATTTCTACCATTTTCATCACTGGGTTCCTTATTTTGTCCCCCCTGACCTTCATCCTTAGTATGCTTTTTCGCATCCCTCATCTTGTGTGCTGCATATTTTTTAACTTGTCTCTCATGGCTTAGACAGGTCGTAAATGGTCATGCTCCATACTTGAGAACATCCCAAAGAGAGGGAGTGAACAACCACTTTACACCCAGCCTGAGATATATGTATGATAGGATACAAAAGTCGGGTAGTGGTAAAAACATAGAGCAGTGAAAATACTCTTTTTGTTCCTAACTTCTGGAGAAATCTGATCAGTTATGACTATGACGTTCTATTGAAAAATAAATACATAGCCACATGGAGAGCAAATTCCCACAATAGGAATGCACACTGTAATGAGAACACACAGCTGAGATGAAATGCACACCTGCAGTGAAAATAAAGATCTATACTGAGAACATGTGTTGTAGTAAGAACATGTATCAGGAGAATGTGCAGCTATGGTGAGAGCATGGAACCATTGGGAGAACACATGGGCAAAGTGAGATACACATATATACACACACAGAATGAGAGAGCAAGAGAGCATGAGAGAGAGAGAGAGAGAGAGAGAGAGAGAGAACACATGCTAGAGATAGAGAGAGCAAGTGAGAGCCAGAGAGAGTGAGAGAGAGCAAGAGAGAGAGAGAGCACTTGAAAAAACAGGAACACAATAAACATATAACCATTAAGAGATTACAGAACTTCAAGGCCATGTGGCCATAAAGAGAATAGAACTGAACTCCTAAATGAAAAGTATCATATGAAAAGTATGTTCCATGACTATTAAGAGAGTGCAAAGCCACAGAGAGAACACCAGTATATTAAAAACATCCAGAAAGAAGGTTGGTGTGGCTGGAACACAAAAAAGGAGCAGGTAGATGGTTTGAAAAAGAGAGAGAGGCAGGGAATGGTTTACCTGGTAAGGATTTTCAACCACAGAAAAGAGCCAAGAGAAGGTACTGAGCAGGCCTATTCTTTCCAAGATCACCCTGGCTTTTTGTGATAGCACTGGAGGAACACAAGAAGAGTCTGGCATCACAGAAATAAAGATCCAAAAACTATATTTAAAGAAGGGAGCAGTGAACAGTCAAGTGCTCCTGAGAGGCAGAGAAGATGAAGACGAAGAACTGACCATTAGATTTTGCAAGCTGGAGGATACTGGTGACCTTGATAAGAACAATAGCAGTGGAGGAGGGAAACAGAAGTGTAACTGAAGAGGGTTGAGGACAAAAGAATAAACAGGTGCCTAGACAATTCCTTTCATAAGTTGTTGTGAAAAGGGGAGGGAAAAAATGGGGTGCTGACCTAGCTCCTCCCTCTGTCTCTCCTACACAGGAGAGAACACAGTCAGAGGGAGAACACTCAGTAGAAAATTGTTTTGGTGCTTCCCTTTTAACTTCTGGCCACTATATCTCATTACCTATAACTACATGTCTGCATATGAACACCTGAGATCCTTAGGGAGTGCCCACCAAACCCCATGATGTTGGCCTTAGCTGTAAATTTGTCCACTGTTCTCCTTGCCTTTCTTTCAGACGCCTGCTGACTCCTTTCCCAACCAGGCCACAGTGCCTAACATGCTGATAAAGTCTTGCTCTACTTCTCCTCACCCAGCCTCTTCTGTCCTGGCTTCTGGATGCAGTCTCTCCTTCTCATGACTCATTTCTGCATCTGCTGCTAGCCTCTTCACTGCCCAGGCTTTTACCATCAACACTAGAGTAACCTATGATACCCCACAGGGTCCCACTACTGGCGTCTGGACACCAGCCAGGATGGGTGGCATAGCTGGCCCATTGCTCATCTGTGGCCCCATGGTCCTTCAATGGTGGATGCTGCCTTTTCCTGGGAGGAAAAACTCTATCTGGTCCAGGTGTGTGTTGGAGGAGAGGCTTGAGGTGGAGACTGGGACAAGAATCTTTGTCTTTTGGTTGATTACTGTCCTTTTTCCTCCAGGGCACCCAAGTGTATGTCTTCCTGACAAAGGGAGGCTACACCTTAGTAAGTGGTTATCCCAAGCGGCTGGAGAAGGAACTTGGGAGCCCTCATGGGATCAGCCTTGATACTGTGGATGCAGCGTTTGTCTGTCCTGGGTCTTCTCGGCTCCATGTCATGGCAGGTAAGGGGCTTCTGGGTGCTAAGGGGTGGCTTGTTCTGCTACCTGTCTGTAGCATAACCCCCCACCAGGGCATGGGAAGGGTTAGGTTAGAATCCCCATGGACATGGGGATGCTATGTTTGGTGCCTTCTTCCCAGGACGGCGACTGTGGTGGCTGGACCTGAAGTCAGGAGCTCAAGCCACGTGGACAGAGCTTGCTTGGCCTCATGAGAAGGTTGATGGGGCCATGTGTGTGGAAAAGTCCTTTGGCCCCAACTCGTGTTCTGCCAGTGGTCCCAGCTTGTACCTCATCCATGGCCCCAATTTGTACTGCTACAGTGATGTAGATAAACTGAATGCAGCCAAGACACCTCCCCAGCCCCAGAAAGTGGCCAATCTTCTGGGCTGTACTCACTGAGGGGCCTTCTGACATGAGTCTGGCCTGGGCCCACCTTTCCAATTTTTTCACAATAAAGCCAGATTGCTTCAAGGGACCTTGGTTGTGGAACAATCTTACTTCTTTCTTTAAGTTGAAAAGTTAGCAACTTCTTTATTGAGGCTCTCAAGCTCAAACAAGGTTCTGGAAGCAAAAGAGGGGAGGGTTAAGGGACAAAACCTCAGTTTTACACGGATTATTCTTAAAAAAAACTGGTTTTTTTTTGCAGACTAAATACACATAGTGGGGAAAAGAGAACCAGAGTAAGAGGAGGAGCTGCTGAGTTTATACAAGTAAGGGGCAGAGCTAGGACTCTGACCCAACGTACTAATAAGTGTCCACAGCTTGGTCCCAAGGCATAAGGAACAACGGGGCTCGGAGCATCTATGCATGAGCAGTGTGGACTGGCTCTGAGTTGCCTTGGAAGAGATTCTATCTAACGACCCTTAAATTGTGGTTCCAAATGCTTCAGGGAGCACTACTCATGGCTTTGGTTGCCATGAGTTGGGCATAACAAGCAGAATGAAGTTGAGGTAAGGAAACAGAAAGATACCAGCTATGTGCCAGAGGCAAGTTGGAGAGAGTAGAGAAAAAATGACTCAGGGACCTGGCACCATGGAGTTCATTTGCAGAACATAGTCCCTGGGTGTGTGTGTGTCGGGGTGCAGGGCGGGGGGGCAGGGGGGAATCCTACTGGAACATCAGGAGCTCTTCTGGTGGGAAGGATCTGGCCTAGTCCTGTAGCCTCCTGAGTGTCTGCACCATCTAGACCAGTAAATATTGCCATGTAGAGGCTGGTTCCCCTCTGGTCTTCCTTCCTGCCACCCCCAACTCCCACAGCATTTATCTCCAAGACCTGAAACTGAAAGCCCCGTCAGTCATGTGTTGCTGGAAATGCTGTTGCACTGGAATGGGACCTGTTAGCTATAGCTAAGTTAATAAGTTATGAACAGTGCTCCCTTCTGGTCTTAAATTGGCTGAGGCATTAAATTTCAAATCTGCTGACAACCATTTGGCTAGACATCGGGCCTGGACTATAGGTAGGTAGGTCTCAGATGAGACTCTATTCCTCCACTGCCTTTCCAACCCAGCTGAGGTTGGACGCTGCTTTGTTTGAGGGGGGGGAAAGCCTGAGAATCTAGCAGGGGGCCCTTTCTCTTAGCTTTCATATCCCAGTCTCAATTTCCTTTTCTATAAAATGGAAGTAATACTATTCACCTTCCAGGGACAGTGAATATATACTCAAACCCATCCCTTGGATTTTCTCAAGAAGGAGTTCTGAAGTAGACCCAGACTGTGGCTCATGGCCTCATCTGGTTTCGTCTCCTGACCTGGTGGTCCTTTGCTTTATAGGGCTTTGGTAGGCTGAGCAGTAGACTGATAAGCTCTGACTGCCACACAAGGCTTTGCACTGGGAGGCCAGGCCATAGCATGGCTTCCGCCTCAAGGGCTGAGAGTGGGGGGATAGTATCTCAGATTATGTTCCAATCAGGAACTGGAGCTGGAGCTGGAAACAGAGATTAGAGGCCAGGCAGCATGGCTATAGGGTTCACTCCTAAAGAGTATCTTGAGCTTTTCTCTTTATTCCTAATGCTTTGGAACTGCAGTTGGCTGCCAGTCTAAGGAGTAGAGACAAGGCCAGTGTCTCAAGTCGGAGTCATATTAAGTCCATGTGCTACATTTGAGACCACCACTGCATCATGTCAGGGAGCCTAGAGGTGTCTAAGTAGTTATCTGGCAACTCTGGTACTCAGGAGTAACTTCTTCCTCTTTAATGAAGGGAAAAGACCAAGACTCTGTTTCCTTCCCTCCTCCCACCTGTTCTATTGCAGGGAAGATTCTAGATTGTCTCCAAGGAACTCCCCAAAAAAGGTTTGTCTTGGTCCATTTAGGTTGCTATAACAAAATATCTTAGAATGGGTAAGAATGGGTAACTTATAAACAATAGGAATTTATTGCTCATAGTTCTGGGGGCAGGGAAGTCCAAGATTAAGGCTGATACAGATTCAGTGTCTGGCAAGGGTTTGCTCTGCTTCAAAGATGGCACCTTATTGCTATGTTCTTAGGTGGTGTAAAAGGGGCAAACTCTTTTGCAAGAATACTATTCACATTCATGAGGTTGAAGCCCTTGTGACATAATCATTTCCCAAAGTCCCCACCTTTTAATACCATCACATTGGGTATTAGCTTCCAACATATGAATTTTGGGGGGACACCAGTATTCAGATCATAACAAGGTCCAACTCACACTTCTTTCATTCTCTCATATAGCATCTCCTATGTGCAGAGAAGTGTGTCAGGCAATGGTAATGAGATGAGTGGGACTGTCCCCACTATCAAGAATGTGCCACTCTATCACGTCAGAGGGGAAACACAGACAATGCATCAGATAAATGCAATAAAGTGAAATAGGCACCAAGATGAAAGACATTCATACAAAGGAGAGTGGAACCAGCAATACTTGGGATGGAGAAGGGATTAGAAAGTCTTTCTATATGACATAACACCTGAACTGAATTTTAAAAGATGAGTAGAATCTATGCAATTCCTTTAGCAAACATAATTCACTACCATGCCACGGAGCATTACAGGAAGAGGAGGTAAAGAGAGCAAAGAAAAGCAAGGAGGGAAGAGATGACCAAGAGCACGAACCTCAACCAGCTCAGCAGTACAGAGGATAGGTGAGTGGCTGGTGAGAGATGAGACTGGAGAAGGATGCAGGAACTCCCATGCTCATGGGAGACCTTCCAAGTCAGCCTGGGAAACATGAATTTTGTCAGTCTAGGGGGCAATGGAGATCTACTGCACCTGTAGTTCCAGCTACTTGAAAGGCTGAGGCAGAAGGATTGCCTGAGCCCAGCAGGTCAATGCTGGGGTGGCTGTGAGTGAGCCGCTGCACTCCAGCCTGAGCAACAGAGTGAGACTCCAACTCAAAAAAATAAATAAATGAAAATAAAATAAAAGAAAGAAAAAGAAAACAAGCTCTACCCCAGGGCCCTTCTTCCTTTCCCTGTAGCTCTCCCAGTAGATGGGAAGTTGTATCAGCATTTTCACTTCCATACACATCTGCACCGTTTTTCTTCCTCTTTTTATGCAGATTAAATTTCTACTTCTTTATCATCATGCAAGTCAGTCATACCATTCTCCCTACCATTCTTTTGACCATCATCTACCAGCATCCTGTGTCCTGTCAATTGTTGAAGACTTTACAGACTGAAGTCCCACTCAGCCACTCAATTACTAGGGCCAAACCTTAACCCTATTTATCACTCACAAATGCTTCCCACCTGTGAAGAAATTTCTCAAATTCCCATATCCCTCTTGTGAGCAACCTTCAATCCTTATCTTCTGCCTCCCTCTCAACTTCATCCCCCACATTCCTGCTTTTTGACTTTGTTACTCTCACAATCATTAATTCCCTTAAAGCCACTTTTCCTACCCAAATTGAACATCAAGGTTGAGTATCTAAACAAATTTATTTTATTTATTTTGCTTTATTTTTGAGTTGGAGTCTCACTCCATCACCCAGGCTGGAGGGCAGTGACACACTCACAGTCACCCCAGCAGCCATCTGCTGGGCTCCAGCGATCCTTCCGCCTCAGCCTTACAAGTAGCTCCAGGCTGAAACTACAGGTGCACACTACCACACCTGGCTAATTTTTTGATATATTGTAGAAACAAGGTCTTGTCAAGTTGCCCAGGCTGCTCTTGAACCCTCAGGCTCAGGCAATCCACTCGCCTCAGACTCCCAAAGTGCTGGGATTACAGGCTGAGTCACCGAGCCTAGCCAACAAATTTCTTAACAATACTTTCATTTCTCTTCTCCCTTTAGCCTCTATTTTATCTGGCTATAAAAAAAGAAAAGAAGAGATTAATAATAGCAAAAACCACTGTATTCTTTGGGGAATCTAGGTTTGTTTAAAAAACAAAACAAAACTGTAGGTCAGAGAAAGAACTTTAGAGCCAGACATTTCTGAATTCCAATCCCAGCCATGCCTTTTAGGAACTCTATAAATTTGAGAAACATAACTTCTCTGTGCTTGTGCTTGCGTGTCTGTGTGTGTGTGTGCATGTGTATGTGTATGCAAAACAGGAATGGGTATTGAATCAATCATTCAGTAAGGATACAGAAACCACTCTAGTTAATCCAAGTAGAGAAGGATTTAACGTAAATTTGTCCCAAAGTTGCAGGGAGGTTTAGAGATACATAACAGGAAAAGCAGGGTTACCCAAAGATTAGAAAGCTACTATAGTCTTGATATAGAGGGGCAAAAGGGAGAAAAGTTATTACCCAAAGATTGAGAAGCTGGCGCCCACAAATCTGTACTAGCAGCTGATGCTATTGGAGCTTGTATTGCTGATGCTGCAGGAACCACCTCCACTTTTGCTAGGCAGGAACTACTGCTGCTGATGCTGCCAGAGGCACTGCCAGAAACAGAAGGGCTTTTCCTTTCTCCCACCTTTAGACATAACTGAAGCTAAACTGATAATGGAGTCTGAGAAATTTTGTTTTCATATTTCTAGCTGGTGGTACAGGGGAGATTATAGAAGAGTGAATGTGGGAGTGAGTACCAATAGGTAATATCTACCATGTGTATTTATATTCACTGCAACCCTTGGTTGTAAGTGATAAAACCCAACTTAAAGTGATGTAAGCAGAAAGAGAATTTAGTGACTTATGGAGTTTAAAAAATAATCTATGGGCAGATTTTGACTTCAGGCAGAGGTAAATCTCAGCATTAAATCTATGTCAGGCATCTGTCTCTTTCCATCCCTTAACTCTGCTTTTTTCAAGTTGGCTTTATTCTTGGGAAGACTCATCCATCCTAATGACAAGCTGTCCCTCAAGCTTACATTCTTTCAGCACCTCTTGCCTAATAATTCCAGGAAAATTCCTGATCTGATTGTCACTGGCTCAAATTTTGTCATGTGCCTGTCCCTGAACTGATCACTTTGATAAGCCAATCCTGGTTTAGGAGCCCACCACTGAAGTGGATCGTGGGACTGGGATGATTCCCATCCAAACCACATGGACAACGAATGGGGAGGGGATGGGTCTCCAAAGAAAACGGATGTGCCATTACATCCGTAAAGGGGGAATAGATGCTGGGCAGATAACAACAACGGAAACAACAGATGTTCGTAAAGGATAATATTTATCTCGGGAGGATTTTCTTGTTCCCCCATCCAATTCTCCTTCTCTTCCTCAGCTAAAGACTTTGAACATATTGATATCACTAGGCATAAAATACACCAATCTCTGCCCTGTTCTCACATTTTAAATGATCCTACCTGCACCCTTACCCTCACCCCTATTCCTTCTGTTTATAAAGTTAAGATGTCCAGTTCTTCAACATGAGTCCTTGATCCTAGTCCCTCTCACTGCCCCAGGATCTCCCTATTTTCAAATTCATCTTCTCTACCGATATCTTTTGGTTGTTTATACTCCTGTTCAAATTGTTACTATCTTAAGCTAATTAACATATTCCTCACCTCATCTGCCTATCATTTTTTATGGTGAGACATTTGCAATTTACTCTCTTGGTTATTTTGAAATATACAACGCATTATCATTTTAATATACCCACAGTTCAATAGATTTCAAAACCTATTCCTCCTGTCTATCTGGGACACGGTACCCTTTGATCATCAACTCCTCATTTGCTGCTTCCACCTACCCTCCATGCTGGTGCCCTAGTAACCACCATTCTATGTTCTACTTCTATGCTTTCAACTTTATTAGATCTCACATATAAGTGAGATCATGCAGTATTTATCTTTCTGTTCCTAGCTTATTTCACTTAGCATACTGTTCTCTAGGTTCATCTATATTATGTCAAATGACAGGATTTCCCTCTCTTTAAAGGCTGAAGACTATTCCATTGTGTCTATATATCACATTTTCTTTATCCATTCATCTGTTGATGGACACTTAGGTTGATCCCATATCTTGGTTAATGTGAATAATGCTACAATGAACATGGGAGTGCAGATACTCCTTTAACATATTGATTTCAGTTCCTTTGGATGTATACCCAGAAATGAAATTGTTGGATCATATAGCAGTTCTCCTTTTATTTTTTTGAGGAAAATCCATAATGCAAAACCAGAATCTTTTTCTATTTTAAGGACTCACATAGGATAATCTCTCATTCCTCTCCAGCTACTGTCTATTCTTCCAAATTTTTCAAAACGAGATTCTGAATTTACTTATTCTACTTCCTCATTTTCTATTTGCTCAATTCATCACATTGCAGCTTCTGCCTCTATTTTCTATGGAAACAGATCAAATCAAGAAGATCCATGACCTTCATGTTGTTATATTCAAAGGATACTTTTTTGCCTTGACCTTATTGAAAATCTTTGCTGCATTTGATGCTGTTGACCGTTTCTTCCTCCTTGAAAGTCTTTCCTCTCTTGGATTTCTTCCATGACATTACTCTCTCTTGATTCTTCTCTTACCTTTCTGTTTCTTCTCAGCTTTCTTCTTGGCCTTCTTTTCCTGTGCTGGCTCCCTAAATGTTGCCATTCCCAGAGTTCACTTCTCAGTCTTTTTCCTTTCTTACCCTGTGTGCTCCTCTGGGTGTGTGTTACAATAGTTCACTTGAGGAAGAGTGTTGAGAAAATTTTTGTCAGGTCTTGAATTTGACATATGAATTTCACTTTGTGTACTATGTGGGATGACTTTGCTCTTTATAGATTTTCCAAGTGACAGCCACTGCCCAGAAGAAAGGAGATTTATCAGATCAACTATAAGAGAAATTACATTATCAAAGCAATACTTATATGTACTGGATGGTAAAGCTGCCTTTGCTCCAGAAGTGTCTTTACTGTTAATAGACATGAAAGCTTTGTCCTTTCATGTAGGTGAGTTGGGAGCCAACTACCTGGAAATGCTAATTGGCTGGCTTACCAAACCAAATAGTACAAACCATTACTCTTGGTAAATTACTCTGGATGACTTGCTTCCAAATGAAGTCTTTCCTGGTAGGTTCAAGGCAATCATTTTAAAAGACCGCTGTCTCAGAGAGACCCACATTGTTCAGAACTATATGCAGCACCTGAGGTAGTTTCCTAGGCTATCAGTTGCTGTTATCCAATAGAAAGCATCAGAAGGGGGAAGAGATAATAGTCGGGAGAGGATGAGTGAAGGGCACAGGTTAATTCCCCATTGGTCAGGAGACTTTGCAGACCTGGGAGGAGATCAGGAATTTGGAAAGACTGAGTGTGGGTCAAATATCTCAGGAAGAAGATGCCCATGTGAACAGCACATCTTCCTTGTTTGTACTAGTTAATCAGACCCCTCTCCCCATTTTCATCATGCTATCTGTGTCCCTCTGGTTCCCGGAAGAGATTTTCCTGCCTACTGCAGCCTTCCTGCTCAATGAGATTGGGAAGACAAGTATTGTGGTGAACTATCTGTAAAAGGGAGATATTTCTGGATTTTTTTCATTTTTCTCAAGCAAAAATCTGGAAGTTGTCTTTTTCTCCACAATTCCATAGCCAATCAGTACATGATCATTCATTTCTGTGAATTCTACCTCCTAAATCTTTATTAAACCCATGCAATTTTCTTTATTCCTAGCCCTACCACATCATGTCTAGGCCACTTTAATTGCTGCCTAACTGGTCTCCACACTTTCAGTTTTACTCTCTTCATATCTATTCTCCCTCAGCAACTGGAAGTGATTTTCTAAAAGACAAGGGTGAACACGTCATTCTCCTGCTTCAATCAAACCCTTCCATGATTTTCCATTGCCCTTAAAATAAAGTTCAAGGCCGGGCACAGTGGCTCATGCCTATAATCCCAGCAGGTAGAGGCTGTGGTGGCTGCAAGCATTACACTGCCCTCCAGCCTGGATGACAGAGTGAGACTCCAACTCAAAATAAATCAATAAACAAAAAATAAAGTTCAAAGCCCTTAGCCCAACAACCATGACCTTGATTTGGCTTCTTCCCACCTTTCCAGTTCATCTTGTGCCATTCTTCTCCAGTATCACACCCATTCTGGTCTTCCTGTACTTCTAGAAATTTCTTTTCTCCTAGCTGCCCTCTACCTCCTTTATCCTTTCCCCTCACTAAAGTATCACTTCCTGTGAAACACTCCCAAACCTTCCAGGCCAAATTAAGCCTATTCACATAGTACCCTGTCCCTCTCCTTCAGGATACCCATCATACTTCTAATTACACATTTAACCTCTCTTTCTTCTGTTCAGTTTCAGCCTGTATGATGGCAGGAGCGGTATCTGGTGTCTTTACCTGTTCCTAGCACCGAGGAGAGTGCTTCACACATAATTATTTGTTGAAGGAAAATGAATGAATGAACGATGATGCCTTTCTTCTTCTGAATAATTCTTTCTCATCTTTCAAGGACATAGGACAGAGGTATCCTCCAGGTGTGATACAGTCAAATTGGATTCATCTTTGGATCCCTAAGGCCCTAGCTTGGTACTTGGCACATGGTTCATATATCACAAGCATTTGTTAAATCATAATAAACTTGGTTATGAATTGATAATTGTTGAAACTGAACGATAGGTATATGAGGGTCTATTATACTGTCCTGTCTTAATATATTTGAAACTTTCCATAATAAAAAATTAAAACATTTATATTTATCTCAAGTCAAGTGAAAGATGACTTGGTGTCATTCATTGAATGGATGAAGTGGAACTGTATCCAGTCAGGGGGTGGGGGGCACACCCATGTACATGTGTGTGTTGGGCAGGGTTCTTTTTCACTGGAGTGAAAGTCCTTAGAAGACCAATAAAGAGGGATAAAATAATGAATTTAGATTTGGACACCTTTAGTTTTGGGTGCCTTTGAGGGCATATCCAGTCAGCTAGCTGTTCAATAGGTTAAAAGGTTTAATAAGTTAACACCTCTGCCTTGTAAGAGTGAGTCTTTAGAGGCTTCCTGGGTGGGAACATACCTCCTCATTCTCCTTGATGGCCTCTAAGCCACTGATCCGACCACTGGGATCTATCCCATTATCTAGAGAGGGTCTGCAGTAAATACTGCGCCCCACCATCTCTTTCTTCTTTTCTACACTTTTCATTCACAATCTCCCCTTCCTTGTGCATTTCTACTGGGGTGGGACGATTTATTCTTGACATTTTTGAGGACTTGGTGGGTCTCAGCGTTATGTTCATCAGCAGGGGTACGGTATTAAGAAATATCTGAATTCCAGTCTGAGATGACCACTCATTGTGACTGCAGGCAATTCGTTTGACCTTTCTAAATCTCAGCATCTGCCTCTGAAAAGTGAGGATAATAATTGTGGCGATTTTGCAGGGCCGATGTGGAGATTAATGCATGTAAACGGTTTAACACAGAGCCTGACATAGTGTAAGTGGTCAATAAATACGAGCTATTATTATCACCAGCGCCGTGTCCTCATTGCCTCCCTGGCAGGACGTCAGGGAAGGCTGCTGCAAGAGGGGAGCAGGTTGCCTCCTCGCAGCCCCTCCCGGCGCGGCCGCGGTCCCCGCACCGTCCCAAGTCGCCCGGGCTCCAGCCGCGTCCGTGCGCCGCCCCGCGGGGGTGCGGGGCCAGGGCCCTGCGGGGTGCGCAGGGTGAGTCTGTGGCCTCGTCGTCTA